ACAGAATATAAACATTTACATGTCCATTGTTTCTCTAGTGAAAGTGAAGTTAGAAACTTTGAGACAAAGTTATAGAAATTAAGCATTTTCTTTATAATTAAATTTTAAGGTTCACGATTGCATAACTTTGTTATTGTTGCACGAAACTGTTTGTTTTCTCTATAACATAATCACCATGCGAGCGAGACTCAAAACAGCGCGGACCAGTTCCCGTCATTGTTACTGAATATACATTACGTGAAACAAATAGCGGTATTTTTACGTGATGCAGATTGAACTGATCGACGAATGTACGAGTGTTTGTTACGTTATAGCTGCATTTGTTTCAACCTTAACAAGTTTTTTTTATACCTAGATGAGAATATTGAGAAACTAAACCGTTACAGTTATAGCCCATCATTTCAATTACTGAATATAGGCCTTCCCCATAGATTGACTCATTAGGAGGACATTTGCCATGAGTACCACGCTTGCCGGGGGGGTTTAAATAGTAGTTTTTTTAATTTTGAATTTTCTTAGGAAGACGCCGCTGTCCATTTTCAGGTTCGTTTCCCTCTTTTGCCTCCTATGAGACGATATGGGGTAGTGGATATTCTTACACCAACCCGTACACAGTCAACTTAGTGTCGTGTTCTTTCTACTTTTCACTTTTTTTTGTTAGCTCCGTAGCTAATTGCTCGTTATAAATATCACAGTACACGAGAAACCCGAGTGTGTAACCTGGTGGTGCTAATCACATTTTAAATTGCAATTTTAAGTGCTGATTTACTCTGCTCAACTTCATGATGAAATTGAGGAATAAAATAGTTGGTGGACTTCGTGGAGTTCGCCAATATTATATATATATATAGTATCGTAGTGAAATCTTTTATGATTTAAAAACCCTCTCAAAAATGATAAGAGGCCACTGCATATTGTGAAAAGCGCAGTGAATGAATAGATAAACTCAGTATACTTATCTTTACTTACTTTACTTATTATTAAGTTAAGGTTAAGGAGATGTTGCTGCCTAACGTTTCTGTTTCCTTCTGTAGGTGACAGCATACGACACTCATGGGAATATATGTTTGTAGTGGATACTCCTACGGCGCCACTACATTCCAAATATGTAAATAAATTGAAAGCGCCGCTGCCCAATACTTTTGATACATTCTCTAAATATAGGTGTAATGTAATTTTGTAATATAATATTAATTTTAAAATAATTGCTCATCAACACAGTGTCAACAATTTGCTTACGATTAATGTTTTTCATTTATTTGATTAACAAAATTTCGCTATACAATAGCACATGAAATAGCCCTAGAGTTAATGATTTCTTATATTTACGCGAACACTACACATTTAAATAAAACTAGTTTTTACGGATTTATCGCGTATATTAACTTATTTTATTTTATATTCCCGACGTGTCGTGTACTTTATAGCATCCATGGTCATGGGGAACTGAGGTGTTTGACGTCCCAATGTCATAGTTAACCACGGCTACCTCCAGATTAAAATTATTAATTTTTGTTTCGATCTACGCAGTATGAACTTACAGTATTTTTAAGGCTTGCAGTTGTATCCTTGGGTTGGGATTTAATTTTATTAATTATAGGATCCCACGCAGATGGTAGCACCGAGACATTTTTTCTACTGAAATTTGGATGTTTTTTGATTTCAATAGTTAAAGTAATAATTTTAGTATTATACTATTTATTTTAATAACCCTAAACTGATACAAACCCATCTTACAATTAACTATGTTATTTTAAGTATTTTCACACATATATATTTATTTAGTTTAAACTTTATTGTTTTAACCATAATGGTTACAAAGAGCAGACTTAATGCCAGTTAGCATTCTCTGCCAGTCAACCTACATGTAACATTGTAATGGAAAAAATATATAGGTACAACGAATTTAATTTTTCGAAACAGTCAATCCTAACTGTCGTTAAAAGATTATAATGCCACGATTGACTAGAATTTTTCCATCTATTTATGATCAGGCAAGTCCGACAACAGTAAAAAATTTCAATCTTTGTAATTTTTTCTCATAAAGAAGGATAATTATTAAATTTATTTTAATAAGGAAATGTTATATATTTAAAACATTTGGTCAAAAAACAGTGAAAGCGCGCAATGAAGTTCGCCGTGTTGGCCATTCATATATTTCAACTGTGTGAGTGCTTTCGGACAAGCGAAGCCTCACTGCGCATCTTGCGCGAACGTTTCCGAGGTATAAAAGAAGGTAACATAGTTATTTGCGGACCTATTGCTCTGCACATACCCAGCTGAACACCAAAACATAACAGGTATACCGTGCATGTGCGTTTATTTATTGATCGGTAATCATAGTGATGTGTTGTGTAGTGCTGTGATAATTATCTTATAGACGTTCTTTTTTGACAGAGTAACGCGGTGACGGATTCGAGCAAAACAAGATGCGGTGGTTTGCGTTGGTAAATATTTGCATATATGCTAAGCATGCAACATCATTTTCTATGAAAGAAATTTATTGTTTTCCGGTTTATGTGACTTTGACTTGATGTTTATCACATTGAGTCAAAAGCGGCTTAAAAACGACATAACCATATATAATTATTTTTTTCTTGATAAGTGTATCTTGTATACACTTGTCTTAATTATGGAACAAATATTATCATTAAATTTTTAAATATATTATAATATATTTTAAATTATAAAATAAGTTTAATGTATAATTAACAGTAAGTGAAAAGGTAAATAACAGACACTCTTCCCACTGCTGGGCTCGGGTGTTTTAACATTTCTAAGAGAGTTTTAAAAGAGGAAAGATTCTGCCACGATATTTCAATGTATGTCGGCGAACTTCATGTATTCTTGCAATATCTTTTAATATTTATAATGTATCTAGTAGAATTAGATAATATTGAGCATATAAATAGTGTTATTGTTTATTATCATTTTTTAATAATTTAGGCAGGGACCTGATTTTATTTAATATACCGCCAAAATACTATCCCATAAAATCTGTCGAATGGGGTGAACGCCACCTCCACATTTTGCTGCGGCATCCGTCATCAAAGTTAGAACAAATATATACAAAGATAAGCGTGACAGTCTTTAAGTTATCCCAAATATCTCAGGTGAAGTTAATATTAATGTATAATCGATAACATTTGTTACAAATTAACATAAACGTCAAGTCAAGAGTTTAAAAAAAGTCTTAATTTGAGTTACAAACTCTGAGGTTACAGATGCGTCACGCAGCTTCTTATTACATACCCTTAACACCCAGTACAGAGCAGTGGACGTACTGCCAATTATTACTGTAATTGTTAATAGAAACAGTTAAGAAGATTTATCAACCACGACGGACGCCTAGATTAAAAGGGAGTCCTAAATTCTATTAAAATATCCTTAGCTGTATGCAGATATATACATTTTTTATGGATTTTACGGATTTATTACATCAGTGATCATACACCGTAAGAAAATCTGGTGAATTTCGAGAACTTGTGATTATAATGCTCTTCCAGTTTGCATTACTGATCAATCACTGACAATAGTTATATATATATATATATATATATATATATATATATATATATATATATATATATATATATGTATGTATGTATAACTCAAACTAAAGTAATAAAGTAATAGGTACAGATATATCTGTATCTATTAATTTATTACTTTACTTTGACTTAAATTAGATTGTATCGTTGATCTAGTGACCGTTAACGCAACTACTGAATATAAGGTCCAGGGATCAAACCTCGGGTCGGATCAAAATCAGTTATTCAGTTTTCTGACGAGAAATTCTCAGTAGCCACCCGGAATCAGGAAGTGTTCCACTCTCGTGCCTCGGAAAACAAAAGAGGCACAGGACGAACCTGTGCCTCTTTTCTTTCCGGTCATGTCGAATTACCTTCCCATTAGAATACGAGAGTGAGAAATAGAGAGTTCACCTGTGTTTGCGCTACAATCTTGCACTATGATTCTATCCTGCTCAGATGGTTATTTTCCGATCTAAAGGACATTAATCAAATCTAGATGTATTGAGTGTCTCTCGTCACTGTCACATTACTTTAGATTGTTCCTTCGAACTTACTTCATTTCGTGCTTTTATTTTTACGTGTACACTCGTCACATTTTAATATGTCCTGCGCAATCGAGACCATACTGCAGTATTCAAAAGTAGTCGCCATGATTGAAATCGGTCAGTAAATACTTTAAACGATTCAAGTCATGCAAGAACTCTACAATTTTTCATCAAAAATAATTTAAGTAAAAACTTTCTATTTACTTTTAATGAAAAAGTATTTCTATAAGAAGATATAAAACTATAAGTATATGAAGAAGCACGGTAGTATAATAAATCTGAGATAAGAGAAAAGAGTGGTTTACTAGATTATGTTGTGACTGGGGATTAAGAAAGGAATGCTTCGGTTGTTTGGTAATGTAGAAAAAATTAACAAAAAAATGCAAAAGTAAATGGCAGAGTCGGAAAGCGACGCCCTAGACGAATGTTTATCATCCGAATTGGCGATATATTGAAGAAGGGAGAGATTAAGTGCACGCTTAAACGACGAGTATATATACGTGTGTATATGTGTGCTAGGATCGTGCCAAATGGAAGTCTATAGTCTCTACCTATGCCTCTGGGTGACAGACGTGAATATTTATATTATGAATATGTAAATTCGGGATTTAGAAAGGGAATGGGATGTACGGATCAGGTCTTTTCCTTGCGGTGCATAGCCGAAAAGTATTTGGCTAAAAACAAGAAAGTCTACTGCGCGTTCGTAGATCTAGAAAAGGCCTATGATAGAGTGGTGAGGAATGAATTGTGGTCAGCACTGTCCGTGAACGGTGTGAGCAGTATCCTCATACGAGCAATGCAATCTCTTTATAGGGATTCTAGTGCTTGTGTAAGGATAAACGGGGCATACACTGAATGGTTTAATATCGAAAAAGGTGTTAGACAGGGATGTGTAGCGTCACCGTGGCTGTTTAATCTGTTCATGGACAATTGTTTGACAGATTTAAAAGAGAATGAAAGTGGGTTGAGAATGAATGAGTTACTCGTCAAATGTTTTCTCTATGCTGATGACCAAGTATTACTTGCGTCTTCGGCCGAGGAGTTGCAGGAGATGGTAACTGCTATGAGTGGAGCTTTTGTTAGAAAGGGAATGAAGATGAATGTAAGGAAGACGAAAGTGATGGTGTTTGAAAAAGATGAGGCAGTGACAGACTGCAATATCGTGATTGAAGATGAACAAATTGAACAGGTGAAAGAGTTTGTGTATCTGGCTTCAAAGTTTACAAGAGATGGAAAGTGTGAGAGTGATATCGAAAGAAGAGTGAATGCAGGAAACATGGTGAATGGAGCTTTGCACTCCTTTATGAGCAGTCGGAAGGTGTCTAACAAGGCTCGTTTGGCTGTGCATGAGGGGGTGTTGGTTCCGACACTCATGTACGGAAGTGAAACTTGGGTATGGCAGAAGAAACATGAAAGCAGAATAAATGCAGTTGAGATGAGAGCATTAAGAAGTATGATAGGAGTTAAACTGAGTGACAGGCTAAGAAATAGTGAGGTAAGGAAACGTTGTGGTCTGAAAGAAGATGTAGTGACAAAAATTGAGAAAGGTATGCTGAGATGGTTTGGCCATGTCGAGAGAATGAATGAAGAACGATTGACGAAAAAAGTGTATAAGGCGAGTGTGAATGAAAGTGTTGGAAGGGGTAGACCTAGGCGGACATTTCTAGACCAAATCAGGGACGTCTTGAAAAAAGGCCAGGTCAAGAGTACCCTAAACCGTAGAGCATGTATGAAGGGAATAATGAAAGTGGACGAAGCAAAACAAGTATGTAAGGATCGTAGCAAGTGGAAAGAACTGGTCTCTGCCTACCCCTACGGGAAAGAGGCGTGATTATATGTATGTATGTATGTATGTAAATTCCAATTTGTTGGAATTAAAAAAGTAAAATAACGAGATGAGAGCGATTATTTGAATATCACACAAATCCTATTTCAGTTTAGGTAAGTAGTTTTATTTAAGATGAAGGTGAATTATATTTGTAAATAAAATTAGTCATATTGGTGTAAAAAGATACATATTATTCAGACGTCCGAAGGTGAACTGTAAAGTTCTAATTAATTCATACATACATTTAAATAACAATAATATCCACCAGACAAAATATCGATCACGATGGCTCGTCCTAACGGATACTAGCTATCTTCGCAGGACAGGAATATAAGTGCACGAGTGTGTGCACAAGAACAAATGCACTGTTTATTTCCTCGCTCTTATAGTCCGATTGGTTGGCAATCCAAACAAGCGGCGACAGATCAGGCGCAGTAAAAACGGCTTTACGTACTTTCCGAGGCTATTGAGAATTTCTTAACAGAAATACCCAATATCTCTAAAAATAAATAAACTTGGTCGGGCAAAAATATATACAGAAATATATATACATATACTAGCTGACCAGGCATACGTTCTGCCCTTTCCGAACGACCATTTGCTTTCCTAAAAAAAAACTCCTAAAATTAGCAATAAAAAAATGAGGGTCACTTATCGGGATAAAAACTATCCTATCTCTCAAGTTGGACCAAACTGCACACAGTGTGCAAAATTTCATTGAAATCAGTTCAGTAGTTTAGGAGTTCATCGCGGACAAACAACGTGACACGTAATTTTTATATATAAAGATTATGTCAGTCTACTAAAAGCGTATTTAAATGAGCCGCGAAAAATTTCACGATAATGTAAAAAAAACTGTGCTCAATATAAATAATCCAAGTTTTGTCTATTTAAAAGACATAAACGAGCTCATGAAATTTGTCACATAGTCAAGAAGGCTTCGTTTATCGTCTTTCCTTATGTAATAGCATGGTAATGTCTTTCACAACAAAGAAAACTTTTGAGTGATAATCATTTATTTGTCGAATTTTTAAAATGTCGCCATACTGCATACTGCTTTCATATGAAAGTCATTACACTCATAGGGAAAATACTATATCATAAATACGGAAATCTAAACTTTGTCTTGTATACATTTTGTGTATGGTAAAGGTTAGGATATCGTTACGCAATACACCATGGGGCGGGGAAACGCGAGTACTCGGAAGCACCAGCCTTACTGAACCCTACGGCATATTTAGGCTCTCGTTCTACCTTCAACCAAGTTTCGGCCGCGGAGAGTACGGAGCGCGGCGCCTCAAAATACGAGTACCTACACTACTCTCCCTCTATGGCACCACCACCACCGCACAAACGGTGGGTGAAGGATAAGGCGAGTGGTGTATCGTCATACCAATCGTCAAATCTTCCACATAAAATTTCTGAAGTTATCTGTTTAATCGTTAATTTCCACTCAAAGCAAAATATGTTCTGACGTTGCCGAATTCGGTGAATTGCAAACCAATAATAAATGAAGAGATCGCGGATGATAAGTTTAACAATTGCGTGTGCGTGTAATTATTGATTACAAAATTGTTCAATTTGAATTGAAGAAATATTTTTAAATTAGAATCACATTTATCACTTCATAATTATAATCATTACTGCTCTTTTTACTACTACTGCTAGGCCTCCCCAAAGTCATGGCAGGAAACACGGTTTTAAGCCACCTGCTTCTATCGACTTCCTGCATGTTTTAATAGGTGGTCACTGGGGAGGCCGCCATACACTTCCCTTACTGGTACCAAATTGCTATTCGAAAACCTTTCTTCTTCATCTATTATCGGTATTTGATCTATACGTCGCGGCGAATCGATTGATACTTTAGTTTACCGATCCGCTAGGCTATGTCAGTTACTCTGACTCGGCTGCAAATATCTTCATTACGAATTCTATTAGTTGAGCCATGGGGCCGACCCATTGCCACTTAAGCGTACTAATTGACATAACCCATTAAATTATTAAGCTGAAGAGTTATTCCTGTATATCTCAAAAAATCAACAACCGATGTAGCTACGCAGAAGTGCTCCGAGGACAAACCTTTTTGCTATCACTTTAGTAAATTATTATTTATAAAACATGCATTCTGTGTCTGTAGTCAATTGATCTACAAAGATAGTTTATCTATACTATGTTTGTGCGCATTTTAGATATATTATATAAAACCAAAAAAAATAGTAAATTTTGATATACATTCTTTTGTAATAATTTTATTTTCTTATGTAAACATCTTACTGTGGTAATCATTTCTATTGACAGCCTTTACAATTGCACACGAGAAGGTTGTAATGATAGGCAATCGTAATATAATATTATGTAATATAATTTTCATGTTATGTAATGAAATGTGTGAGTGGGATATTCGAATGTAAAATACTAGTATGATAGGGCTCTATTTCTGTCTAGGACTCTAGGAGCTCGGTATACATAATAAAACTAATGTACTAAGTGTTTAAACTAAATTATTAAATTAATTATTTTAGTGTCTGTTTCTAAGCCAAACCGCTATATAACCTTATTCAAGCAAATAAACAAGACAAAAATTTCAATTTTAGCGGCCTAGAATCAGGGTTCTTTTCAGTTAAAAGATTAGGAGAACCAATTTATGTATAGGCTGTGAGGCATTTCATCTTAGTCCTCAGGAGTGAAAACTAATCAAAAGTTCCTTGTTTAAAGTTTTTTGTAGGTATATTTTGACATTAGATTCATAGCATCAGGGTTTATCACTAAAAAATAATTATAAATTATATTAAAAATAAAAGAAACAATAAAGTTTTAACGTGTTAGAGTCATGCCGCAGTAATATTATGGATGTAGCAGGAATGGGTCGACTCGACCGTGTTAGGACCACGCTCTCACAGAATACCAGCTTAATGATTTTGTGTTCGTTTGGTAATTGTAGAGAAGCGTAGATCATTTTTACTGAAAACAAGGCAAATTTTTGAAAGTTAAATAAATCAGCTAACAGGTTATCGTCCTGCTTTATTTCATTAGGTCACCTGATAGTAAGATGGTGAAGCGCACTGTCTTAACAAAAGCCTATTTACTCTTACCTTAAAGACACCGATATTATAATCGAATGGAAAGACAGCTGCTGGCAACTTATTCCACTTCTTTGCTGTATCCATGACGAACGATGTAACAAACCATAGGCGTGGTAAGTCGATAACGAAAGGGTAGGAAATGTCTGGTTGTCCGACAGTGGATGGGAGTGACACGAAGTTTTTTTTGCAGTGAAGAGACACGCTTGTGTTTTGGAATCATTGAATTTCATTGGCATCAACCCATTCGGAGACTGCTTGTAGTGTAAAATTAATACGCTCAATGGTTGCTTCTCTTTCGGACTTGATTTGATCTCAACTACAACTGTGTTACTGTCTGCATATCCATAGACAACGAAACGACGAACATAGAAAGAGAATTGTTGAGAGAACGGACCCCTGAGGAACTCTGGCGACAGTCACCATAGGATTGGATGAGCAGCCATCGACGTCAACTCGGAAAGACCGTTCACTCAGAAAGTTCTTTATACAATGCTTATCATCTGGCCTGATTGGTGAATCAAAATAATCAGTATGCTGGAAGCTTACCCAAAAGGCTAGCGTGCCAAATTTTTCAAAGTCTTTCGAGATGTCAAGAGAAATGTAGCGGGTGGAAGGAAAAGGGGAGATCTCCCGCCGGGCAAGGTGTTCTGCCCGGGGAGCGGCCAACGCTCCGATTGGTAGTTCGGAGCTATTCTATATATGCTGCTTTAACTTCGGAACTTTGTTAGTGCGATTTAGGCTTCGATGTGTTTCGCTTGTAACGCGACGACAGCGCCGCCACAGAAACATACAGGCACACGTACCAAAGTAATCAATATATTTATTCAAATATATGAACTACTTACCACATTTGGCCCTGGAAATGAGATGAGGGTTTCTTAAATTAGTAGTGGTACAGTTTTTATTGAATGATTATACTTTCAAAAAAATCCTACTTTGTCTCTTGCCGGTTCCTTCTAGAACAGAGTTCGAAATCAAATAACACAAAATTCGAAAGATAAAGTCGAAACTGTGTCGAATCTTTAGCAAATCAAGAAATATTCCAACGCGTTTTCTCTCCTAGTTAGGATTTATTTAGATTTATTATTTAGGATTTTTATTATTTTCCACACCTAAAACCGTTTTCCCTATCACAAATATTTTTTTTATAGAACAAGGATAAACTATGCAGTCAATATGATAGTGAATGCTGTAGCCTTATAGACTTCTACATCTATCCTTGATTAAGAATCAAAATGCAGATACGTTCTCACCCCGGAGGACTAACATAGAATGCTTCGTTTTTAGTCAAAAGTGTATCTAAAAGGATCTGTACTCCCACCTTACAAAACACACAAGCTTTAAGCTGTTATTTCACGCTGGTATTTTGTGACAACGTCGTCCCCCCGATCGAGCAGACCCAATCGTGCTGTAACCATAATATAACTGCAGAATGGCTCTACCACTTAAAATGCTTATGCTTCCTTCAGTTCGTTTTTAATATACTTGCTCACTACACTGATTGGTTGAAAATTAACTACTAAAACTAAGAACCAAAGAAGAGGTGTTTGTTTTAATTATTTAAATAAAACCATCCCTTCGATATTAAATGACATATAATGTTTCTGCTCGTGTTCAATATTACCTTTAAAATTAAACAGGAAACGTTAGTTGTTAATTTCGCAATTCCCGCTGGACGCAAATTCGATGCACTTTCTCTTTTATTTTACATCGATTTATTTCGTTAATGCTCACTTTCATCTCGCATTACTCTGTCGAGCACGTAATATACAACATGTTAGCTTAACTTTGTAATTTACAACGTTCGTTGTTTGAATGAAAACGATAAAAATAAGTTATAATAATTAATTGTAATTTTGAGTAAATATGAATTTAGATTATTATTCCATTTTGACGATTAGATAAACATGTTAACAATGTTTAATGTTAAGAGAAGCCATTTGTGTACAAACCCAAATTGGTGGCTTCGCATGTTGTTGTATTTTTAATGTTTTGTTAGGTTTCATTATCAAATAAGTCTTCTTAAGTATATTTTGTATGTAAATTATTATTTAATAGGCCAAAACTTATCAAGAACATCCTATTCGTATTCCATAACGATAAGCGATAATATCGGAGGTCAACAGATGCTGTGTCTGAGAAGAAATTTGAGGCAATCTAAGGAGGAGGCTTATTAGCCTCACCCTTAGATTGCCCCATAGGGGGTGGGGATATTTGTCATACTTGTCACGCTTGGCGAGCGGGTTGGCAATCGCAGTTTTTAATTTTTGGTCGTTATTAGGAAGACGCTGTTGCCCATCTGATTTCTTTCTTTCTGTCACCTCTTACGACACCTCTTACGACACGACACGGGGTGATATAGGATAGTAAATATTTTTACACCGCCATTATTAGCATTAACGTAAAATAGTTTAATATGTAGTATAGGCGTATAATAATTTAATCTTCTTTTCCTGTTTCATCAAAAATTGCTTGTTAATTATAATTTAATAAAAGCCGATAAATATTAAATTGATAAGCAGTAATAAATCAATAGCCACTTTTACATACATAAAATTATTCTGTGCTTGAAACGAGTATTTTATGGTTCAGTATAGAAATTTTGCTGCGGTAGAGTTTCATTTATATTTATTAGGAAGCGCAAGTTATATCACTTCACATTATACAGGTTTTTGAAAGTAGAAAGAGCAGGAAATACTATTTATTATTACATTAGAAAAAGATATTTAAGCAAATGAGTATTACCAGTTTTGTAAGTAGGAATTGAAGCATAGTTATTTCAAAATAAGTATTGTTCACGATGTAGTAACTGATAGCTTACTACAAAGTAGCCGCGAATATTTTACTTAAGCAAGTTGAGAGTACTCTTGCGCATTTTACGAGAAAACGGTAGTTATATAAAGGAATGATCATACTTAATGATCATTTGCACAGTCTAGTCTCGTCCCACATAGACACTTGTCTTGAAAAGATGCCAGATTTTTTGAACTGTCCGGTTTCTGATGTTTACAATAATTTATCTGTGTAACTTATAGAATAAAGAGACTAATATGTGATATGCTTATTAATTTGTTTATAAAAAAATTATTTTACGTAAGAAGGTTCCTAATCCTGTAAAACTTATTTATTATGTTTTTGTTAAATAGGTTAAGCTTATATCTTGTAGGTGCCTAAATCAATGAATATATATCCAGTTTATGCTGTGTAGTGGTGACATTAGAAACTACATTACTCTGACTGGCCTCGTCGGTGGGAAAAAGGTGACTGTGATAAAAGCCAAAAAGATTTTATGGCCTCCGACATGCGGTAGTTAGTACAGTTGTCTCGTATGCGTCAGACGTAAAATAAACAAATGCCAATTGGGGCGAAAATGGCATTAATCTTTATAATAATAGGATATACCCATGTCTAGCGTTGGTTAATAAACTGAAGGAGAAGAAGGCCCAAAACAGTTTTATTAATGTTACCAAATATTTAACGCAATCATAAAAATTATATAACTGTAGAGATCATTACTCTCTTATAGATGTACCCAGAAGTGGGGCATTTATAACTTTAATAGATATTACTAAAATGATTAGTTACTCTTCGAATCTAATGCACACTATTAATTAATACTCGTGCACAAGATGAAATATGTAATTTGAATATCAATTTGAAAAACACTGTGATTAAAATAGATAAGCACCGTTAATAAACTTTACTTAGGTCTCAAAAAATACTTATACAACATTTTTTTCCATTTTTCAGATAGCGGTTTGTGCAGTTATAGTAACAGTATATTCTGAACCTGAACCGAAAAAGTATAAATCGGGTGATGCGGAAAAAGACAAAAAATTAGAATCATCGCTGACTGTTGATGAAAAGAAATTTCTAAGACAGGTCGAAGAAAAATTTGGTGTTAAATCCGAGATACCAGTTGATAATTCGAAAAACATAACAGAAACAACACAAAAACCTCATCTACCAGCTGTAATTGCTATCGAAATTGTGAACGATACAGATTCAAGCGTAAAAGGAAAGAGAACTATAGATGCAAATCTGGGTTATGGATACCGAACTAACAATGGATACACGTATACGTATTTTGGAAAGCCAATGCAAGAAAAAGGCAAATTTATGATCTATCCATATTCTCAACAAGACAATCCATCACAATATAATGGACATGGCGCTGGGTATTCGCAGCAGTCGACAAAAGAGTATTCACAGGGAACTAGTGTAGAAATTCAACCTTCACAAGCATTTGAATTAGTGTCAGTAAAAGATAGTAATGAAAATTACGACACAAATTCCAAATCCTTAGAATCTACACAAACCTACACAAAAAACACGCCTATATTCCATCCATCTACTTTATATACAACATACAATGGTGAAGGGCTCTCAGGCTTAAGTGGTCACTTTCCAAGCTTGATGTCGAATTATTTTGTTGAGCCGAAGCAACTTCTCACAAATCCTCAATATCAAAGCATTGGTTTAACTCAAGATCATTTGAGTACTAGTGGCTTAGATCAAAATCGACCTGTAGTACCTGTTTTAGTTTTAAGGATACCGAGTTCCTATATAAAAAATCCTACCGCCGAATTGTATGCAAACTTGCCAAACAATTACCCTCTTTCACATTATTTAAATAATGTTAATCTTCAAGGTCTGATCAATCAATATTATTTTAAGAATGGTTATGATTTTGCTCCCCAAGTAACAACTTATCAAAATCCTCAAATAACAACTTCTGCTATAACTCCAACGGTATCATCATCATCTTACAATTCTGAATCCCAACATTATTCGAATCCACATGTCCAGCCATCATACACTCAATCTGATTATTCTGGTGTTCAGTATTCAGCAGTGAAACCAGTCATGGCTAAATATCCTTCAAGTTTTACCAGGCAAAATCAGTTTAGCTCACAAATTCAATCTCACTATAGAAGGCCCACACAACAACAGAAAAAAGAATACCGTTACCAATATCTACCACAGCCAGCGACACACACACAAGCCTACTATGGACAATTATCACACCAAAATCATCATCAACCATCAGAGTCACAACATGAACAACATAACCATCACGCCACTGTAACTGAACAAACGTACGATGTCGGTAGTAATACTAAAGTTGAAGTTCCACAATATTCAACTAGTCATAACACAAATGTTATTTCTGCGCAGTATGATAGCAACACTCCAACTCAATTATCTGCAGAAGTACCGGAAAACTCTAATACCTATACACCCCACTACGAATACACCAAAGACAGCCAAGAAGCTTATAGTCCTCAGCAAACTTTATCTCAAGGCTATTCTAGCCAATCACAAACTGACTATAGCTCTTCTCAACTCAGTAATGAATTCTACTCCCAAAAGCAACCTGTACAAACAGAATCTGTAATTGCGTATCCCTCTCAAGCTGCAAATGTAGACCAAGGACAGCTATCTTATTCTGACTCGAGTGAAAAACAAGGATACGAGTATCCAAAACCAAGAGAAGAGACTGTTAAATATTCTTATGTTAGCTCAGAGAATTACCCTAGTAAAGATCACACTATCGCAACTGTACTACCTTACAGTCATAAACAAGCAATAAGTCCAAATACCGCGACCATTCAGACAGTAAGTTATGTTACCCCAGTTCCATATTCAACTAAATATCAATCACGTTATAAAGTAATGGTTCCGCAGATTATACTTAAAAGCCATGATGTTGAAAAAGTAACGTATGTAAACTCCAGGCCAATGCACTACACAAAAACTGGATATCACAACCAAGATTATAATGCCGAAGAAGGGTATACTGTTGGGACACACTATAATCCACATACAAATAAGCAAAAGCCTACTTCTCACCCCAGAAATTATCATTCTTATATGAAACGTATGACAAAAACTGACAATAAGCCTGAAGGGAGTGCTGTATCTTCATTGATATCTAAGAAACAAATTGAAAAGAAAACTTCTTCATAATAAACCAGGAAGTAGTATTTTGTAAGATAAATAGATTATTATTATGTAAATACAAGACTATGTTACCATTACATCTAGTTACTGGCTAGTTTCTTAAGAATGAATGTATTTGAAATTTAATATATTTGTCATTATGTGTATTTACGTTTATAAATATTTAAGTTATTGTTTAATTTTAATTTAGTAAAAATTTGTTTGAAAAGTTACGAAAACCATGTTTTAAACTATTTACGGCATTTTCACATATGTTTACAATATATTACCTGTGTATACAAAATGCTTAGAATAAATGTTACAGTAGGTACAACCTGTATTAAAATTTCTTCGTTATTTATTTTGCTACATAATAAAAAAGTGGCTGTTTATATGTGCAATATTTTTAATTAAGGTAGAATATTATGTTTTTTTTCTAAGAATTAGAGTAAAATTAAAAGAAAATGTATTATCTTGGCTGTTTTACGATCAGTGTATTTTATTGCGATACTTTTTCAATTATAATATACCAATGTTAAATTCAATTCATAGACATCCCTAAAACTAATAAAGCTAGTAAAAGATAATTGGAAAAGCACGAGTGATACCTTTGAGGAAACTAAAAATGTCTGAGCGAGCTATAGAGAGAGTTGTGCTCGGAGTTTCTCTGCGTCATAAAGTCCTTAACAAAAATATTCGTCGTATAACCTGAGTGCGGTCACTGGTTCTAGTCAGATCAGTTATTCAAAGTAGCATTATAGCTCAAAGATAATTTTGAATGAGTAAGAAAGGTACTCGAGTGCCAGCTTCGTACCGGTTACCGTAACGCAGTGTAGTAGATAATTTATAACATTGTATCAAACTGTTATAAATTATCTACAATATATAAAAAATCAGAGCAATACAGAGAAAATTATAAAAATCATGTTGAAATGAATATAAAAATGTTATTTTTACTAAAAATACATGTTTTTACTATAATTTAATTAAAATTGAGGATTTTTTTTAATCTGGCAACACCGTTGATTATATAATAGAGTCCATCTACCTCGCTTCATCATTTGGCTATCCTAAGAGGCGACTGTGGAAAATGCCAGGAAAATCGAATTACTTTCGATAGATCGGGCCATCTTATTTATGTTAGACCCAGACCGGAGACGGGATGCAACATTAAATAAATTGTGTTACTACCATCGTTAATTCGCTTGTGAAGTGTGACGATAAATGCAAATTGCGAACGAAAAAGGCGATTAATGAAAAAAGCGAAAATCGCGACACATACAACGCGAAAGGAAAATCATTGGGTTTTTACGGGTAAGAAAAAGAGAAGAATTTATTACATATTATACGACTAATAAATGAACCATAAATATATGATAGTTCTCCTGCCAAACTTAGTATGACCTGCACCAATAGATTTATCTTTTCTCGAAACGCTCCAACGATTTTTCATAACCTCGTGTTTTAGTCTGAAGTCGATTTATTCGTTTTAGTCATCCACTGGTAACTATGAAAATCATAAGAACTAATGCTTCACCATTTCTTGTTCCCGTAAAAACATATACAAGAAGGTTATTACTATCGACTCTCTATCAGAGGCCTTAAGATCTTTCTAGTATTTTACATAAACGCCTCTTACCACAGTCACGGGCTACTATTTTACTTTTTTTTTACTATTTTAAAAATCACTCCCATAAATAAAATAACTATAACATCGTAATCAACAACGTCTTAGAACATGTACATAAATGACAAGGTCGTAGGTAGTTATTGCGTTCGTATAATGTTATTGGTTATGTCAAAGTCAACACATTGGACTTTGTAAAAATCCCTTCTTTTACTATTGTAAGCCAGCGCTTAACTACAACCCCACCTGATGGTGAGTGGTGAGGTATGCCTAAGATGGTTAAGTGCACTGATTTAACAAAAGCCTATTCACTCTTGCCATGAAGACACCCACACTGTAATCGGATAGAAAGATCTATCTTTCTATCCGATTACCGTGTGGTCATCTATGCTTGCAACTTATTCCACTCTTTTGCTGTACGCATTACAAACGATGATTTGGTTCGAATGCGTGGTAAGTCAACAACGAACGTCTGGTTTACCGATGGTGGAAGTGAGCGGGAGGAATGAAGTTATGCAATTCCTACGAATACTGTTCGAGGCTGGGAAGATTGGTTTTAACCAAATGCGGGTCACCAATAAGCCTTTACATTAAGTTGAAAGCTGCTAGGTGGCATATTGCAGCACTAGCCCATATATGGCAGCAATACTCTATGCACAACCAGACCTGTGTTTTATATAAAGTAAGCAGCTCTCCCGGTGTGACGTACAGCCGCAACTTTGCAAGGACTCTTAGCTTCCTTGCAGATGCTTTAACCTTGGACTTAATGAACTACCCGGAGTTCAGGTTTGAGGGTATCTCAGCCTCGAACAATTGAAGATGGTCGGTGTATTTTTGTATAACTGTTACGAACGAGGTCAAGCAAACAATTTCATACATCTCCTTTTGACCTGAAAAATAAAACCTGTGGGTGTCCGAAGCCTTTGGTCGACAATGACGAGTTAAAGGCAATTGTGGAAGCCGATAACAATCAATCTACGGCTGAATTAGCAGTAGCTTTCAACGTTAGCAACAAAACAAAATTAGTCCATTTGCGTCCGATTGGCTAGGTAAAAAAGCTTGACAGATGGGTGCCCCACAAACTCTATGATCGCCAGCGCGAAGTACGCGTCGAGACGTGCCTTGCACTGCTCAACAGGCCTTCAGACGAAGGAATTATGAACAGCATTGTTACCTGATAAAATGGATTCTGTTTGACAATCGCAAGCGGTCAGCAAGTTAGTTAGATCCTGGTTTTAATGCCCTAAACGAAAACCTACCCCTAGAAAAGTGATGGTCACTGTTTAGTGGTCTAGCGTTGGTGTGTTTCATCACAAGTTCTAACCAAACGGGATGAGCATTACTGCAGATATGTATTGTGAAGAACTGAACACAATGATGGAGAAGCTCGCACGTCTCCAACCAGCTTTGGTCTATCGCTAGAACTCGCTGCTCCTGCACGACAACGCGCGACCTCATATTGCACAGCAGACGGTCTCCAAGTTACAAGAGCTGGGGTTGGAAGCTCTCCGTCATGTACTGTACTCACCAGACCTTGCGCCTACAGACTTCTACTTTTTCCAAAATTTGAATAACTTTTTGGCCGGAAATAAATTTAATACCCAAGAGGTACCCAGTACAAAATGACTTGAAGAATTTGTTGCCTTCCATCCAGCTGATTTCTTCAAGAAAGGTGACAATAAACTATCACTGCTTTGGCAAAGATGCATCAGTTGCACGGGTGATTACTTTGATTAATAGAAATAAAAAATATAGAAAAAAAATTACGTTAACTTATTTCATATGCCAATTTCACAGATAAAGACCTAATATATAAAAAATTAAGTTTGTTTGTTCGTATTTTATGCGCTGCTATACCGTTAATCAGATTGCGTTAAGTTTTTCAACTTATTGCTTGCACTTGCGCAAAGGTAAAATTTATTTAAAAGTTGTATAAGTACCTACCTATCATTCAATTTCAATGAATGTTCATTATGATTCCTAATTAATGTTCCAAATTTAAAACGATATTTCCATAATCATTTTTTCTGCTGAAGCAACGCGCCGGGTACCAGCTAATGACCATTAAATTTTACATTAAGAAAATATGACTACATGAAATGAATAATATTATTAATAAGAGAGTTGATTGGATGAGATTTTTTTTCATTATTACATTCGTAATAGTTTTTTGTTATTTCAAGTAATTACAGGAAGATGCTGCTGCCCGTCTTCTGTTTCAATTCCTTTTGACGCCTTTTACGACACCCACGGGATGATACGAGATAGTAGATTCTCTTACGTAATGAAATAATAAAAATATTTTTTATTTAAACTGAAAAGTTTCTATTTTCTTAAGTGATTAGAGACTAGTGATTTAGGAATGAACAAGTTCTCTTGAAACTGGAAATTATGTTATTGTTCGATAAGTTAGAATGATACATTTAAAAATTCATTCGTAAGATTTAATTTTATTACTTATAGGATCCTAAAAATACTCAGCTGTGAACTTTGGATAGGCTGTAATAATGATGATGATAATGGAATCGGTGTTCTTGTACGAGGATTTTTGTTTTATCAAATGTGATATAATTGCTAGGACGTTCCTCAACATGTTCCAAGACCGCAAACGCTGAAACTTCAGTGCTTTACTTCAGCTATAAGTTCTTTTTTTTATAGGATAGGGTGACAAATGAGCACACAGTCCACCTGATGGTAAGTGGTTGCTGTGGCCCATAGACATCTAAATTCATCCTCGTTAGCGAATCAAAATGCAGATGCGTTGTCACTCGTGAGGACTAAAATGGAATGCCTCTTTTCCAGTAAAAAGGGTCTCCCGTTCTTTAACGCAATATTTAAAAATGAATAAAAATAAGTCACATTAAACGCGATGAAATCCCCAAAATTTATTTTATTCAAGTTTTGTACCTGTCACCGTAATAAAAATCGGGATAAATTAATACCATTTGTTAAAAATGTCTTGATATTTTTAATTCTTTAATCACTATTGCATCTAACTTCATATTTTATTTATGTTTCCAAGTAACATTACTAGTATAGGGTATCTGTTACCATCTTGCCTACATTTTGGTATTACTACTAGGGTAGGGTAGTGCCTACACGTAGGTCTTCAGGTGTCTTAAGAAACTGAAGATTAAAATGTGAAGAGGACTAACGACATTTTATACCCCTCTGGTGAATGCAACATTGATACATAGAGATTACGTCAATTTTTGTAATTAAACAAAGTTAGTCTTTTCTGACCTTCTTCTTTCAAACAAAAGCTACTGATAGGTACCAATTTCTCGACTTCACATAGTCAGTAATTTATTCATGTGGCAATGTAGACGCTATTACAACAGTCTTACAAATATACAAGGTCTCTCTCAAGTTTATTTTTTGTATTGAACAAAGACTAGAA